ACATGCTGTCTGGCTACTGCATCCAGCCTGCTTGAGGCAGAGGGAAAAGTACCATGGATCAGGCTGGAGCTGAAGTGAACAAATGCCCTTTTTCTATTCAGTAGCAGTCTGTATAATTTGGTGACTTGCTCTGTGCCCTGTAGTTCAAGTAAAGGTTGTAATCTTTCTTTATGGTGCTCATTACAACACACAGGGTATAATGTCACTGAGAGAATTGTTCCAGGAAATTGGAGTATGGGGATATTTCTCAGCTTAGTTAGAACAAGTGCCTGTGACTTCAGTGTGGTTCATATAAGCAGCTTATCCTAGTGGAAAGAATACAACTTGAACATTGTTTGAAACGGATTATTCATTTACATATTGTTGAAATACAAGTTTCAGATGGGGGTGGTTAGTTTTCTTGGACAAAACGAATAAATCTTTATCCAGATTCCTTGGAAAAATAAATAGTATTTTTACAGGGGTATGTGGAGTTATATTAACTGCCCTTTGTGAAGGACTTATCTTCATTTGAACCTTCAAGCAAATGAATAAGCAAATAGCAAAACAGTAGAATTTATTTTCCTGTGTATCAGAAGGCATTACAGTTGTGCTGCCTGGATAGCACAATTTGAGGAACAAATGAAGGGGCAAAGAGATTTCATGCATTCCAGTGATGTATCTGTGGTTGTCCGTGGTTGTCCATGGTCCAGTATACTAATTACCCTCTTTTTCTTTGCCACTCTGTTCTCCAGTTGCATCTATTTTCAAGGAGTTTAGCTACTGACTCTTTGGCATGCTCCATTCATTATGGACTAGTGCTGCACTCCTTGGAGTTTTGGCACTCTTGTGTTTTTTTATCCAAGATCTCGTTACTTGTGTTGATTTTCCTAGGCCCTAGGTACAGTATTTTTGCGTTTCTGTCTGCAAACTGCAACTGGAGTTTTCTGTGCACTTGCTGTAGAGGCTGTCCTTCAGCTTGACCTCCACAAAATCAGGGCTTCAAAAGAAATCAGGCTTTAAATGCACTTGTGGATGCATAGATGCATCCCCTCTATACTTGTTTCTATTCATAGGGGCCCATTTTCACTTCTAGTTTTGTTCAGCAGCCTCTCTGTTCTTCAGAGCCAAAATCCAGGAACTTTGGCTGCAGAGAGATCTTATTTTTTAGGACTCAGAACTAATGGAAGTCACTGATGAGGAGATGGGGAACCAAGAATCATCTTAGATTAAAATTGAAGTATGCTTGGCTAATCATTGTGACAGTTGTGGTGCCAGAAGATGTTAGAGTTGCCATTTCTGAGGAAAATATTGCATCTCCGATCTTTTAACAAAGCACCACCATTACAGTACTTCATGATTAAAGTGCATTTTCTCTTACTTTGCCTTTAATAGGAGGAATTGTCTCCTTTAGTACACATGTGCATCATTAAGGGTTACAATGGTAGTGCTAGGTTGATGGTTGGGTTTGATGGTCTTAAAAATCTCTTCCAACCTTGGTGATTCCATGATTCAAGCATCCTGAAAGTTGGACTTGCAGAGGAGAGGGCTGTTTCTGTCTCCTGCTAAGAGACTGCAGTTTTCTAACATGATTGTGGAAATGCCTAGGTTAAGAAGGGGAAGGGTAGCAGAATTTTTTGGAGAATAAAGGTCATAAGATGAGGACTCCTGTTGAGGAATATGGACTAAAGAAATCTAAGGGAGGGCTAAGTTAAGCCATGTTCAGGATCTGTTGCTTTGTTGCACATGGTGCCTGCACACTGGTCTGGGTCTGACTCTAGTGTTTTATATAACAAAGTCATGCTCTGACTTGGGCACTTGCATTGCTATAGGTTAATCAGATTTGCATACGGAGTTATATGCTCAGCCAAAGGTGTCATTCCAGCTTAATCACTGTAGTGCACAAAGCACCTCATCAAAGAATGAAGAACATACTAGTAATTTAGGTAGACACCAATGTGTGAAAGATATTTCCGTAGATATGGACTCAATAAACAGGTCTAAAAGGTATTCTCAGTAGGAAGGAGGCACAGCTTTTGTACATCAGCCTGTGTGTGTGTACTTTTCAAACAGATTATTTTTCCATAATTAAGACTCTTGAAATTCTTCAGGTTTTAGCCACACACAGTGGTGAGGGGGAGAAGTAGCTGGTTGCCTCCAGTTCATAAGAATTCACAGGTTGGTCATATTAAATGTTTCTGAATGAGAATTAAAGTTCTAGAAAAAAACAACTGAAGGCCTGGCATGTTTCTCCTTTCCACAGGGAAACAAAGGTTTCCCCTTGGATACAGTGAGGATTTTGAAAACCTGGCCTACTCCTGCAGGTTTAGACTGGCATTTGGTGGAAGTATGATTAGCTGGAGTGTTGCAGGGAAGACAACTGCAGCGTGTTGTTGCAGTTTTCAGAGGGTGACTGTTGCATGCTATGGGCTGTGAATAACTGCTGAAGGAGTTGTTCTGTCAGACGTTGTGGTTGTCCTTCTGCCTGTTATATTCACATCCGTGGTGGGTAACTCACACCCTTTGGAGACTCAGGTGTGAAGATCTCACCTATAAGGCTTAATTTAGAAGAGCACCAGCTTTCAGGTTACCTTCTGGGGAAGGACAAGGCAACTTGGTTTTTAAATGGAGAGTGGATTTGTTAAATTTGGAAGTGCGCTGGCAATTCTGTAGGAGTTGTTAGAACTTCATAGGGCCTGTCTGTCTGTATTTTTAAGTGGGGTTTACATGGCAAACTGCTGAACAGGACAAACAGTTTACAAAGCAAAACTCTGAATGCTGTGTACCTGGCAATGCCAGAGATTAGAAGGAAATTATTTTTTTCAGTCCAAATTTTGACAGTGCTTGTGGTCAGTTTAACTGTATGCTGTTCTTAGTGATTTTCTGTTTTGTTTTAAACACAGCAATGCTGTCAAATAGTTCCCAAAAATGTGGTATTTGCCAGGGCAGTTTCTGCTTTTGGAGCTCTGAATTAAGGTGAAATAATTCAATATCTGCATTCTGCTTTATGATCTCTTTGACAGTAAGAAAATGTTAGGTGTTAAACTTTCCTGCTGTCATGGAATAAATAAAAAGTATTATTCTGCAAAATAATTCCCCGTGTGATTTATAGCAGCATTCAGTAATTATTTTGATCACTCTGACTTCACTGGAGTTGCATGTGAAGATAAAAAAGTCTAAGTCGTATTTTTTTCCTAGCAACTGCAGTAATGTGAACCTCTTGCATGTGCTTGGGGCACAAGACACACACATTGCACACTCTTGTTTTGTTGGTTAGTTACAGTTTGCTTAGGCATCAATATTGTGTGTTCACTTGAGAAGAGACAGAACTTCAGAGCAGGGCTGTGGTGAGGGGAAGCAGAGGTGCACTGCTGCTGTCATCTCCACACAGCCCAAGTATGTGTTTTGTTTTTGTTAGCAAGGCATGTGAGCCAAGGAGTGTATAACCAGTCCCCGTGCCTCACATTTGAATCACTGTTGTGGTGAGATCAAATATAAACATTTCTTGACTGTTTATTCTAACACAGATGTTTTAGAAAGGTTGATAATGGCTGGAAGAGACTCTGTGAAAAGATTTGTTGGGTATATACAGTGTCACTTATAGCTGATGCAGTGTTGCAGTAAAAGCATGTTATCAAAAAGTAGTGTTACCACTTAAAAAAATGGTCAAATATATTCCACAGTCAAGTTAAAAATTTTCCAAAACCCCTGGTGTACTGATTTTTCTCCTAGTGCAGCTGCTTAGTTGGGGCCTCAGGTAAAATCTGCTTGAGACTCTTCTCACAGTTAATTTTTGTCCACTGTGTTCAAACAGAAAAGCTCATAGTCTACTTCCATTACCTGCATTGTGTAACAGTGATTCGCAGACTCTTTGATGCTTCCCGGGGCATAATTTGCAAGTATGTAAAATGTGTGACCTATTTTGTATGAATTTTTTTTTTTTTATATATATAATGAATGCACAAATAAACTGATGTGGATTAGAAGGGTGGGTTGGATGGTTAGGGTGTGAAAGCCATGAAGATAAACCAGTCAGTTTAATTCTGATTCTCCTAAGCATGAATATTTGCTGCATCACATCCCAGTGAGGAGGTGGAGGAGGACAGGGTGTGCAGCGTATTGGTCTGGCTTGGATCTTAATTCACACATGAATTTACAATACGTGTGCTTTTATTTCCAAACAGATTTCCTCAGCCTTGTCAGGGGCAGTTGTCTTTCAGTGAAGCATGAATACATTAAGGTTTTAAGTAAATCTGCAGCACAGACATGTGAGGAGCTTGCTGCGTAATTTAACCGAAAATCTAAGGATGAGCTTTCACAAGATGGCTGAGCCAAACTAATGGCTTTCTGCTGCTGCTGCTGCTGCCTAAAGGGACAGCTGCTCTGTTCCTTCCCAGGCCTGCTCCTAGATTATCCAGTGTTGCTTTTTCCTCCCTGCAGTCTCTGGCAGCGTCTTGTTCATTCAGATAATTTATCTGTTTCAAAGCAAAACTCCCTGAACCTTCTCTCGAAAAGAAAACCCAATCAGTTTGCTTTCATTTCTCCAGCACTGTCAGACAAGCAGAGTGTGGGCAGGACTTCGTGGCCAGCAGGTAGGATCTAGGGAATGCCACTGTCCTGGAAACATTGAACTCTTTCATGGCTCAGTAATCGCAGGGAACAGCCATTCAGATGTGTGCCAGCTAACAAGTCCTCTTCCAAACTGATTTCATACGTACTTGTATTAGAGGCTTTTGTCAGAACCATGAATGATAGTGGAATATAAATTTTTCAAGTAAAACAGCTGAAAATACAGAAATATGACAAGTGCAGTTCAGCTAGTAGTAGTGTCCTTGTTTAAATCAGATGAAAGCAATGCAGATTTGATTTGAGGCACAGAAAAATCAGCTGTATAGCTCTGTATTTTTGTCAGCATCATTTGTGCTGTTCTTTAATAGCTTCCAGTAGGATTTTTGAAACAAGAGATATTTAAGAAATAACCTTAATGATCCTTTTGTTTTTTTTCTTCTTTGTAGAATTGAAGGAAGGTCATCATGGGAGCATTTTTAGACAAGCCAAAGATGGAGAAGCATAATGCCCAGGGGCAAGGGAATGGGCTCCGTTATGGCCTGAGCAGTATGCAAGGCTGGCGAGTGGAAATGGAGGACGCGCACACGGCCGTGATTGGTTTGCCAAACGGACTTGATGGATGGTCATTTTTTGCTGTGTACGATGGGCACGCTGGATCACAGGTTGCCAAGTACTGCTGTGAGCATTTATTAGATCACATCACGAGCAACCAGGATTTTAAAGGGCCAGATGGGCCACCATCTGTGGAAAGTGTAAAGAGCGGCATCAGAACAGGTTTTCTGCAAATTGATGAACACATGAGAGTCATCTCCGAGAAGAAACATGGCGCAGACAGAAGTGGGTCAACAGCTGTGGGTGTCATGATTTCCCCCCAACACACATACTTCATCAACTGTGGAGACTCGAGAGGTTTGCTTTGTCGAAACAGGAAGGTTCACTTCTTCACACAGGATCACAAACCAAGTAATCCACTGGAGAAGGAGCGTATACAGAATGCAGGTGGCTCTGTAATGATCCAGCGTGTGAATGGCTCCCTGGCTGTTTCACGGGCACTTGGGGACTTCGATTACAAATGTGTCCATGGGAAAGGTCCTACAGAACAGCTGGTCTCCCCCGAGCCTGAAGTGTATGAAATCGAGAGATCAGAAGAAGACGATCAGTTCATTATCCTGGCTTGTGACGGGATCTGGGATGTTATGGGAAATGAAGAGCTGTGTGACTTTGTAAGATCCAGACTTGAAGTCACTGATGACCTTGAGAAAGTTTGCAATGAGATAGTTGACACCTGCTTGTACAAGGTAGCCAGACTCGAGAGAAGGGTGTTTTCACTATTAGAAGTTTATGACCGAGTTCAGAATAAGTTGTGATTCCAGTCTATAAGTATCCAATGGTTTATGTTAACATGACTTTGACAGTAATGACCATGTTTCCCACAAAAATGGTGATAGAGGGGGAATGAGCACACCACAGAAACAATATGGCTTTCTGGGTGGTTTTGGTTAATGAAGTGTTTATAATCGTGTACAGATCACTGGGAAATTAGAAGCTGATGGGAATTTTTGGGCAAGCCAAGGACCATAACTGCCCTTTTCTGTTTCACAACATACTTTACAAAGCCTTAAGACTTAATCAGGCTCGAAAGTACTTTTTCCATTCCTAATCTTCCCTTCCTTTCTTGGGTTATAGTAGTAACATTGCTGTCATAATTACACCAAGATAAATGCAGAGTGAATGAACCTTGACTTCATATTTTGCAGTTTAAATTTTTTTCTTGACTATATGAAGACCTGAATTCCTAACTTAGTTTTTATTTTGGTCTAATTACCATATTTCTCATTCAGTGTTGTGTGATACAGCTCAAACTAGCTCAAGTAGGAGATGGGATCATTTTGCTTAACAAATCTGTGTAACTTTGCCTGCAATAACTTCTACTTTGTATTAAGAAGTTAAGCAGTGACAGAAGAGGTGTGAAGCACCGAGTTTCAGAGCTTGATACTTAATTTTCCAAAGTCAAGCTGGAACTTACAGTGTAAACAAACCAACATTCTCGATTCTAAAGAGACAAGAGAGCATCTCTGCTCCTGCCACATGGCTAACAGGATCATTAGTTCCCTTTTGGAAAAATGTAATTGCTTTCCAACACTTGGGCAGATTGATAATGCTTATATTTCTGTTTGCAATTTGTGTCTGGTAATCCTGAAAACAATTAGCAGGAAAGGAGCAGTGGCTTGTGGATGCTTTAAGCTCTGCAGGAGCCAACTGTCAGCACGTCCCCATACACCCATATACTCCTGTTCTGAGCCCTGGCTTGTGTTTAATCTTGCTGACTTCAGTGGATTTAATTGGCATTAAAAGTGAAGCCTATGAATGTATGTTCATAGACAGAGCACAGGGTACTGAAAGTAAACTAAGCTCAGTTACTTTGCATAAGCAGAATGTGTTTGTTTATTAACATGCTCAATATTGAGGTTCTGTCTAGTTGGGTTTTAAATGTTTCCATTTCAAAGAGCATTTTTGTAAAGGCCTGGGCACATTCCAGCTGTCTTCTGACAAATTCTCTCACTTGTAACTTTTCTTGTTTTGAAAGAAAGCAGGGGAAAAACCCTAATAGCTGTGATTTTTAGGTGGAAGCAGTGTCTGAATTCAGCCCTTTGCTGCTTGGAGCTTTTAAGCAGTAATGGTTTTGTTCACCCATCTAATACTCAGTTGTTTGCCCAAAACAATTGGATAGTACTTAAAACAAGATGGAACACAACTTTGTAATTACACATTGCTCATTACTAATGTCAGTTTTTAGGAGACAATGGGCTGTCTGTAATTGGCTCCATGTAGTCTTCAGACCATGAAAGAGGAAAGAACAAAGTGACTTTAGAGTTGTACCGAATGAATGGGTGTGGAATTCTGTAAGGGGTAAGGGGAAGCTAATGGTAATGTTAATCTGTAGTAGTGAAAGTTGGATTCTAGTACCATATGATTTGTGAATTTCTGTGTGTGAAATGTGTTTTTAGCCTGGTGTGTCTACATTTCTCAAATCATTTTTTCTTTTCCACCAGGGAAGTCGAGACAACATGAGTGTGATATTGATCTGTTTTCCGAATGCACCAAAGGTATCGCCAGAGGCGGTGAAAAGAGAGGCAGAGTTGGACAAGTACCTGGAAAGCAGAGTAGAAGGTGGATCATTTAAAAAAAAATAAGTAACTTTGTTTCTAAACAGCCCCTTCCCCTTCCAACAACTTAGCTCTTAACATACACAGGCTTTTTAATAGAACTTCAAGTGCCGTTGGCCATCTTTATGTAGCACTGGAAAAGGCACTCATATATGTCCTGAAAAAGCTCTGCTATGAGAGTGCAGCAGCCTATGGCCCTGAAAATTATTCAGGATGGCAGAGAATTCATTTGTGCTCAGTGTTCTTCCTGAGTCTGTTGACAGCACTCACTTCAGATCAGTAAATCCTGGTTCCTGTCCCATGGAGTTAAGTGAAATAATCAGAATATCTTGCAGAGTGTCTGTGAAGATGGTAATCTGAGTGCCATTTTTCCATATAGTTAAGTACCAATCAGTTAGCTGTAATACTTTATTATCCAATTATGGTAGGGCTATGACTTGATTACTGTAATCTTTAAGCACTGGCTAACGTGTTTACTTATTTGAAAGGAGTCAGAAATTTGTCAAAGCTAATCTTTAAGCATTCATGACAAACAAAAGCTGGGAACTCATCTTACTCTGATAGGAACTTCAAAGTTTTGCTTTAAATTTGTGCTTTGGGAGTTCTTCAACTTTAAAGTGAAACTGCAAGTCTTGGGCTTTTTGGATTGCGTAAAAATGATATTTGAAATTGATTTGAAGAATTTCTCATATAAACTGCATTTATAGTGCCTTTTGGTATTTAAAACCAACCACAGCTTAGAGTTTGTTTCTGAAACATAAGACATGCTGTATGCACTATTTGCATAGGTGAAGTCTGTTTTTGAAGTGGACTCCTCTAGACCTATATGTTACTAGTCTAGTTTTGTGTGTGTACTCCCAAGAATCCTTAATAGCACACAGGGCACAATAGGCTGAGCTCTTCACAACTGTGGTAACAGTGATTAGTAAGTTAGAGGAGTATATTTTGCACTTTTTTCTCTCCTTAACTTGCCTGAAGATAACACAGTGCAGCCTCAGAAATTCCACGGAGAACTTTGCCTGCATAGGAACTGTGAGTTCAGACAAATTCATGTGCAATTTTGAAGCACTTACAGCCTGTGTAGGTGCTCCTTCAGAAAGTACCACATACTTCAAAGGCCTCACTCACAAGGTCTTGGCAAACTACATCTGTTCTGCCCCTGAACAAATGTCCAGGCAGACATTTCTGTGATTGAATCTTAACACTTGCCTGAGAGGAGAAGTTGGTGCACAGTAAGCGATAGTGTGAATCTTTGTGACAGCGTAGCAGGAATATCCGAGTGCAGAGTCACACTGCATGAGAGAAGTGTCACATGGCTTTCTCTGGGGCAAAGCAGAGAGCAGTTTTTCACCAGGCTCTGGAAGAGCTTGCTGTGGGTGCCCACCCACAGATTTGGTGAAGAACAAGTATGCTGTAAATTCACACGTTAATTTACAGCATGCTAACTCTCCTCATTTTGGCAAATATTGCCTTATCTTAGCTGCTTTGTCTGAGTTCAGACAAAACCATGACCTAGAATAGGAAAATATGTTTAAGTTAAAGCTGCTGCATCTTCAGCTAGCCTCATTGTACTCCAATAATATTGCAGTGAGGAAAGCTGGCATTTTTGTACAGCTGCTTCATTCTATAGAGGAAGAACCTAAACACTGGACCTGCATGTGATTACGGTACATACAGTGGATTTGGCTGCCAGTACTTTGCATTTATGCAGACAGAAAATTTCAGGAATCAGCAAAGTGTGATCAGGAGGCAGGAGGATTCTGTATGTAGTTATAAAGCACTTTAATACTAATTTAATGGGATGATGTCTGAACAACTTGAGGAAATATATTGTACTTCCCCTCAAGGGCCTTTGCTTCTTTTTTTAGAGTTATCCCCAATCTTTTGCCTGTTGTTGCACAAAGATATTATTTAAGTGAATGAATATGTAGTGAACACTACTCAACCCAGCAGCCATTTGTATCAGCTGTGTGCAGAATTTGACCTTTTAGGTCTTACTCATGAAGGAAGTTGAGAGGCTGAACTAAAGCAGAACTTCAAGAACAGGAGTTGATTAAGTTTGTTACATTTACCTTAATTCCTGTGCAGTTGAATTGTTTCCTTATGCCTTACTGACTAAGGTAGGACTGCTGCAGCATCTGTAACTTTATACCCTACAGTGAATAAGCTTGCTGTTATCTTAGGGTACTGTGAGAGTGGCAGTGCTTAACTTCAAAAGCCTAATTTTTGGCTGAAGGAACTAGAAAATATAAAGAGTAGTTATAGAATGATCTAACTAATCTGTAATACCAATTTAAAGTTAAAATTCATTAAAATGGTAACTTGGTCAAAATGCATATTATGTATTTTTATGCACTTCCAGTACTCAGTGTAGTCCAACAAGTAGTGAGATTTGATGCTTACTAATGTGCATTTTCTTCTGGTTGTAATTTTATTCCCTCAGCCCAGAATATATCTTCATACTGTTCAAAAGTAGTGCAAATTTTAAGACTGAATAGGGCTTAGTACTGATGGTCATCTTGAATAAGGAGAGGTGATTCAGATTTTTAGAAAACATAGAAAGTTTTCTACTTACTATGTCACCTAGGACTCTCCTTTGCCTACTTCTGATGTGTTTGTGGTCCAGATTGCTAGCTGCAATAAATAATGGAAGAAGCAGCAAGTGTGGAGAAGCATCTTTGTGCCATTACTTGCAATAAATCAATGTTACCCCTAAAATATCCTGTGAAATTCATGGTAGAAGTAATCAGTCATTCCAAAATGTATTGCTATTATTTGCACTAATATGTGTTATTGATGTGTTGACTCTAAAAAGAAACTTGTCTAAGCTATTTTTTCCTCTGTTCTCATTTTTTTTTTACATAAAAGCATTCCATACTAGAGAAACTTTGCAATATTTATACCTATATATAGGTAAATCATTTTAAGTTAGCTGTTACATGTTCCTTCCCTTATTTTCACAAAAACAAAGCTCTGGCTGTTTCTTAAACTTTGTGTGGAATTCCCATTTTTGAGTCCTTTATTTTAGGGTTGTTAAGCACATTTTTTTCCAGTACTTGATGCCATGAAAATGTGTAGAAGGTTTAAAATCAATTAAAGACTGGGGGGAGGGCTGAAGGTGTATTGAAACAAGATAACTCCAATAAATTAAACCCAGCTAGCAGACCGACTCCATTTGTTGTGTCTTCAGTGTTCATTCAGTCTGTATCTATAGTTCTATCAAAATATAAATGTATTCATTTAGTGGAGACTGTATGTTCAATGTACTGCAGTTACAGGTTGTGAAACTGTGTAGCATAGGCCAACTATAAATTCCTTATTTTTGTACAGCAGAACTTTAGCACTAGCACAATGTAGCATATACTAGATGTTCAAAATTGCACAATAAAGGAACTTGGCAAACCAAATCTGAGATCTTGGCTTCTTATTCAGATTTAAGAGTCTTAGATTATTTATTTGCTAAACATTAGATGGTAAAATGAATCTTGGCTATAGATTTTTTTTGAGGAAATGGCAAGTTTCTGAGGTGTCTCTGGTGTGTGGTGTCATGTATTTAAAATGTAGGTTTTGAAGTCAACAGCTTAAAGCTTTGTGCTACAGAGTTTGATGCTGGTTGAGGACTAGACAGTGTTTTCTACTATACCTTGCAAATAATTTTCACAGCCTGACTGCCAAATAGAGCTAATGCTTTTTGTGAACACACATGGCCCCGAAAAACTATTACATTCACAAAAAGTAATTCACAATCGTTGGTTTTAATTTTTTTCAATTACATGTTGGTTTTAAAAGCTTTCAGTGTGCATTACCTCACAAGCTGTAAAATGGGAACTTTGTATGTTCTTCTGGAATTAGTTAGGGCAAAAGCTGAATGCTTTTCAGAAGTGGTACTGATTAATTCCAACTGCTTTCAAACTGTGTAAATGCTTTATTACATGAAGATAGTGTGCCTGTACCTATGTGCATGTGTAGGTATGCACATATGTACACACTGCTGTGTGATGTTGCAGTATTCACTTGAAGATCAACAGCACCAGGGCTTCATAATTCATATATTTTGCAATTTCTGAGGGCTCATGTTTACAGAAAAACCATGAGATGCATTTAAAAAATATGCTTGTTCTTTAAGTTTCTAAGTTTCTTAAAATCCATACTTAGAGTGTGACTCTTCAGGGTGGTGTGGTCTGAAACCTCTTGAGTGCAAATAAAACTGTGTGCTTATGACTTGAGAAAAGAAAAAAAGCAAACCAAAAAAAGCCCCAACCAAACCAAAAAAACCCCAAAACCAACCAGCCAGGCCTAAGAATAAAGTTAAAGAATTAATTTCTTGGCAAACCTGACTGTGGCTACAGTACAGATTCTCTTCACCCAGGAGCTGGAGTGGATCAGCTTTAAATATCTGCCCAGTATTTGAGTATCCCCTGAGCTGAATATGGAACTGTCTCTAAGATGGGATGTCCCTGGCTTTTAATTTGTGTGTAATAGGACTTAAAATTTGCATGTTTCTGTGGAGCAGTGAGGTACAAACATTTGTCAATACACATACAGCCATGGGAGGTATTTTTAATGTATCTAACCTTTTTTTTCCTGAAGATATTTTGCTTTCTGTGGTGGCAATAATATTTTATCTTGTGTTGCAGCGACAAAGCTGATGTTAATATCTGCCCTGTGCCCTGGGCATTTCGTGGGAAGATATTACATCTTCTGTTCTATCTGATGTGTAGCAGGAAAGGCATTAAAGTGTTTTTTTTCCCACTTAGGTAGCTGTGTATTGCTAAACCCAGTGTGCATGTTAACAGCAGTGTATCATTGTCAAATCTGTTACAGGTTCTATTTCTTACAGAACCAAACTTAATTCCCATGTCAAGTGTGGTCTGTCATCTTCTTTTCTTTTTTTTTTAATGATTATTATGATGAAATATTAAGCTGCCTTTATATAAAACTGAGTGTTTCAATCTTTTGAAGTTAAATTTGGACTGCACTTACAAAAAAAGTACTTCTGATTCCCAGAGATCATAAAGAAGCAGGGTGAAGGAGTCCCAGACTTAGTCCACGTGATGCGTACGTTAGCAACTGAGAGCATCCCAAACCTCCCGCCGGGGGGTGAGTTGGCAAGCAAGTGAGTTCTCATCTCAGTGTACATGTGGTTTTTGATTTCAATCGAAACTTAACTGCAAGGCCACTCTTAAAAGTGGGAAGGGAGGGAGGGAAGAAGGGTACAGGACAAAAGGTGATGATCTGTTCTCTCTGATTTTCATTACTCAGTTGTTCTGAATGAAAAGGACAAGCGTAAGAACAGAGTTAACTCTGAATCACTACGAAAATTAAATGTCATACTAGTTTGGGGAAGGAATGAGGGTTTTTAAGGGTGGCCTGAGTGTCTGTTTTCTGTAATTAACTGGGGTTTCGGGGTGGGGGGGAGGTAACATTTGAACATGCAAAAATAATGCACTGACTTAATATTTACTCGGATGTGTAGTTCTGTGCTTGGACAAGAAGTGATATGCATATAATGTTTTGCTTGGCAGCTTTCTTGTCTTGTCTGCTGTCATTGCTTAAAAGTTTGCTTTCATATCTCTCTGCTTGTGACAAATCTGAAAATGAGATAGAAGTCTATCAAAAAAGCAAACTGGGAAGTGAAATTCCCACCTTTCTACCAGCTGGCTTTGTCCTGAAGAGTTCAGTGGTGATGCTCTGTAGCTTCTGCAGTGTTCAGTCTTTAAGGAAGCAATGTGCCTAGCTTGTTTGCACCCCAAACCATGTTCAAAAGATTGTTCAGGAGCCTCTGCTATACTAAAATGGATTGGGCACATATGATACAGAGTCTTTGTAACCCTTCAGAGTGTGATTTTTGTATTGTTAGGCCAAAACATGAGGGCTTTAGGTATGTAATGGAATAAATGATAGATAAATAAATTATAAAATGCTAACTAAGGATGGCTTCTCCAAAACTAAATTGTTCCTACAGGAACTGTTTGACTAGGAAAAGAAGAGAGGGCAATTTTATGGAGAACAGCATCTATTTAGGATGTATTGCTGTAGTACTGAGGTATCAATGAGTCAGTTACTCATGAAATAAGGCACATACAGATTGACTTCTCTCAGTCTCCTCTGGCTAGTAGTAGCATCATGGTTGTGAGGAAGTGCTGAAGTGAGTGACTAATGTGGGGTGTTGCGTCTCAGCGATGCCAGTTTGAATAGGCATTGATAGAAATGTGGATTTAATTGGACATTAGCTTAGCTGAAAGCACTGTTGCCAGTTTGGAAGGAAAATAATGCTTTTCAAGAAATCTGCCTTTATTTAGACTCAAATATACCTATTTCTTGAGAAATGAGGGAAACTTTCCAGTCCATACATGCAGTGTATGTTGTGTGTAATCGCTTGATTTTGCTGCTCTAAATCCAACCTCTTCTTCCATGCCGTACAATCATTCACTAGATTCACTATGATGCATGGTAGTTCCTGACTTTTCAGTGTTATGGGATGATTACAGAGCCTGTCATTGCTTTTTTTATCTTCTGTTGCACTCCTTTGTGATTGATCTGCATTGCCTTCATCAGCAGTTTAAAGGCTGTTCTTTGAACTTTGGTTTATATCACAGTCACAGTCTGCAGCTTCGTCATAGCTGGCTCTGCAGGAGGAGACCTGGAAAAAAATTGCTTTTTAAGTCCAGTCTGTAATTCCTGGTTTTTTGCTCCCCTCTTTCTTTCCTGCTCTTCCTCCAAAGTTGTTTCCTTATACACTGTGAAAGGCAAAGGCTTTCTCTTCCTGCAGCCTCACATTGGGGTTTTTGGTTATTTACTATCAGTTTTCAAGAAAACCATTTCACCTGATGCTAAAAGGGATAAATAAAAATTATGTTGTTCATTTGCATGTTGATTGCAATTTTTCTCTTGATATTTTATCAGTCTATTTCTTAGCAGTTTTTATCGTAATTGGAAAAAACAAGAATCCTGGAGACTAAAGTTAATTACAACTATCTTAAATATGCTAAGCCTTTTTTGTCTTAAAGGAAGAAACTGCCAAGATGCTTTAATTAGTTTTTCAATATTTTTTTTCCAGACAAAATTCATCTCAGGCTGTAGATACAAAACACAAAGCTGCTATTTGCAGTTTAATTTTTTTAGGAAAGTTGCAGGAGAGTATTGGACATACCCTTGTAGAGTGGTATTGCTTCAGAACTCATTTTTCCATGTTTGCTCATGGAGAGTACATTTCAGAATGTAACAGAGACAAAAATGTACTTCAGAATGTGATTTTTGGGCATCCAGAAAATAAACCACCACTGTTCCCCTATGGAAGTGCCATAAAACATGAAGCACTACTGCAGTGTTCCTCAGGCACACAAATGACCAAGGCATTCAATGTTCACCAAGTTTTCTGTTGCCATTTTCAAAGTCAAGAGACCTAGCACTGAGCACCTCATCTCTCTGTCAGGTTGTGCTTTTCTCTTGCTGAACTCTGAGGGATGCTCAGCCTTGTTTTCCTAGAACCTAAAAGTTTAAAGGATATGGGATATTTAATGGCACTTAGTGCTAGCTTGCAGTAAATATGGGTCTGTGATTTTTAACTCTTTCAAAGCTTGCATTGTAAGTTGAAATTGTACTTGGGGAATTTGACTTAAAGACACAACCTTAAAATCTTGTGGGTTTTGTTTTTGCTCTAGACGGAGTGTGATCGAAGCCGTTTATAACAGACTGAACCCCTACAGGAATGATGATGCTGTAAGTATCTCTTCCCTTGTCTTTCCCCCCACCCCAGTGATTTTAGCTGTTTTGTGAAGAAATACATTGCTAGTTCTTGTTAAAGATCTCTTCCCCCAAGAAAGGAGGAGAAACATTGTGCTCTTTGGACTTTGTTTCATAATTGTGTTCTGCTGCCTTTTGCTGATCATAGTCTCAAAACTCCTGTATGGTTGATTCATTTGTCCTCTGGAATTTCATTATTTGAATCCTGCCTGGGTTTCCAAATGCTGCTAAATGGTGGAAGCAGTCATGTGGGGTTTTTTTCCACCTCTTTATGGGAGACTTTTTTCCCTCCAAATACCAAGAAGAAAAAGGCTATACTTAAATGTTATATATATTAGTAATTATCTGCCTTAAGAATATTTTAGTTTACCAAATGGACTACATAAGCACTTTTGTTCTTAAGCATAGAACATCTTACAGCAAGCAGACAGTTTGGGTTCTTGCATGTCAGTGATGAGACTGACATAAATCCACTGTCAGTGGGGGGGGGGAAAAACTGACCAAAGAACCTCTGGAATATGAACAGTGATCCCAGCTGAAGTTTGATCCCAGTTGCAGTTTCATCACTGGAAACAACAGTCATCGAAAGTGTGATAAAGTAATCAAACTGATCCTTTACCTATCAGCAAAAATTACTTTGCTGTAATGCTTAGATGTGCCATAAGTAAAATGCAGCCAAGGAATTGTGTGTTGGATTGTAACTGGGCACTAGTTTCATTGGAAGTCTTTGTTCTATTTATAGCATTAAAATTCCTAAATAGTGGCTGAAAGAGGATGCTTTACCTTCAAAATACATTCTGTAGTATGTTGCTGTCCTACAAATGTACAGCACAAGCTTCCTTGCTTTGTGATGGTGTGGGCAACTTGGATACAGGAATTTGCATATGGAATAGCTGGCGAGCAGCTCCTGCATTTTTAGTCATACTGCTTTTATTCTTCATCCTTGCACATGAAATAACCATTTTGGTCTTTCATATAATTGCTCTCCTTTGCTACTTCTGGTCTTCAAGAAAAAACTGGAGGTGGTACTTTTTGCAAAGGATAATTTCAGTTTGTGTTGTTTTTACTACACCTCCGTTCCAACTGTTCCTCCCTGTGGTTTGTAATGGATTCTGTGTGCAAGTTTGAATGAAGGGTGCAGAACTCCAGTGCTAAGAAATTGTGATGTGTGGCATTGCTACAGACTTAATTAGCCTCTTTTTCTCTCCAAGGAGTCAGTAAGGCAGTGCTTTTAAAGAGGAGTAATATTGCTACCTCCTGCAGTCTAGTAATGATAGGGAAGTGTAGGTGTGGAAGCACCAGGATACCCTGTTGTTAAAGCCCGTGGTGGCCCTTAATTACTTAGGGGAAGGGAGCAGGTAATGCTGGAACAACCAACGTGGCTGCACAGAAGCAGTTTGCTCTGATGTCTCTGCTACTGATTTAGCTGTTGCTTCAGCTCCAGAGTTGTGGTACACTTAGTTGTGCCATTAACCTGTGCACTGGTGTGAGGAGGCAGGTGGAGAGAGCTGAATATAGAGCAGTCTGAGCAAGGGAAAGGGGAATAGGCATGACACAAAGGCAAATGGAATTTAAAAACACTTAGTGAAATTAAACATTGGTTAAAACAGGAGTTGGTTAAGCATTTTTCAGGGTTGTGGTAGTTACACAAAACCCACTGTTGCCTGTGGGCCTACATGGGCCAAATTTTAGAGGCACTCAGGTACCAGATATGTGGTTGTAATGCCATGTAGTGTGGCCATGCAGTTATGATTTAGAGCATGGTATATCTCTACTTCCAGTATTTTGTCTTGTTAGATACATTTATATTTTTTCCCCTTGTGGTTTTATTACCATCCAAAATTTGGGTTTCCTGCAGTTGCCCAAACTACAGTTCTCTGACCTTAAACTGTAGGTGTTAAAATAGATATGAGCTATAACAGGTTGTCAGCTGATGACTGTATCTTCCTATGCAGTGTGGGAGGGCTGAGAACACAAAAGATGGTGATGATAATAACATGGCATGAGGCACATCCTGCTCTTTTATCACACCTGTATACTGAGTGTATCCATTTTGTGTTACTTCTGACTGCTCTGGGAATGCCTTTGAATCATGTTCCTAGGAGATTATTTTGAGGATTGATAAAACACTTGGTCAGATTTTGAAATGCCTTGGTTCTGATGCTTCATTGATTAAGAATGTGATATTTAGATACTTCTTAAATGCTGTTTCTGCAAGGGGAAGGAAAACAAACTGAAAGGAAAGAGAAAGCTCCTGAAATGATTTAAGTCTTTACCCTTTTCAGTCTGGATTATCCAGAAACTGCTGTAACCTTGGGCACTCCAGACTTTAAAGGGTTCCTTCTTTTTTCTTTAAGGATTCTGCCTCAACTGATGATATGTGGTAAAACTGCTCATCTAGCTGTGGAGTTCACGTTTCATCCTGCAAATGAAAGTGCAGCCCAACCTCAGTGACCCTTCTTAACATCCATCCTCAACCTTAATTAAAGAAGGGAATATGATGTGTTGGTGAGAGTGACTACAGCAGTACGACATCTAGCCCAGGAACTGATCTTTTTTTGTAAAACAGACTTCTGTAAACGTGATTTCAAACCATAATTCATGTTGTAAATCAGACTCCAGCAATTTATGTTGTATGATTTTGTTTTTGTAAAGTGCAATTGTCTTTGTACAAAATGCTCATATTTAATTATGAACTGCTTTAAATCACTATAAAGGTTAGACGAACTGTTTTGGCTTGTGTGATGCAACAATATATATCCCTTTTAAATTCATGTTGTGGTTTTGGATTGCAAGGAGCAGCAGCCTAGCCAGCTTAGGTGCTCAAGAGGTGCACAAAACTGTAAAGATAACCTTTGGGTTTATATGAAAGCTGAACTCATGGGCAGCTGGCCAGAAATTACAGTGTGTGGATTTGCTTGGCAATGGACAAATAACTGAAGAGCAGTGCACATTCTGCAACAAAAGTATATCATTTCCTTGGATGCACTCCTGCTCTCACCTTGAGCTAAAGGGATTTGTGATCTTGGCTTCAGTGGGAGTTCAGTCAGGCCCTGTCCATAGTGTCGTGTTCATCCGCGTACGAATCTCGGGGTTACCATGCCTTGATTCTTTGCACCTCTTCTTCCATTAACCCTCACCTCAAACTACTAATCACTGAGCACGAACAAGCAGCTTTCTACGTCCAGTAGGAGTCTGCAGCATTTTTACAATCCTGACTGGCTGGGTCTGCTGCTGTTCCGAGTAAAATACTCTGAATTCCATTTTATCAATAAAGCTTGATTTAACAAACCAGAAATTTACCCATAAATGTGTAATTCCTTTTTTTTTTCCTGCCTTTTCAAATGTCAGTGCCATTGTAAATGATATTTTACTTGTGGAAGAATATTTTTATTAATTGGTAGCCCATTTTTAAAATGGGAAGGATTTTGATTCTTGCCCAAGACATAGCCATATGCTAGAGGATGATGTGGGATTAATCCGTTTCCCTATTTTTTACAAGTGTGGGTTTTTTCAGGCTTTTTTGGTGGTGTTTTCTTTTTTTCTTTCTTTCCTCCCCACTGAAGATGTGCATTGGTTTGAATTTGCCTACTGTTTGATAAAAATACATTTGTCAAAGCCTGACAATCTTTAACATTTTATGGTGTGTGTTTTTAATTGACCCACTTAACTTAGAATGAGAGACTAGTGGTTAAACAGTACTTGTGATTTGAGATATAGCATGTTGACAATATTTAACTGTTCGTTGTTTAAAACTTCTAATTTAAAATTTTATAAGGTAATAAACTAATTTGATTTCAGCTTAGCTTTCTCCCATTGAGCATACAAAAATTCAGTTTTCGAGTCAGTCGTGTTTGCAAAACTGCTGTTTTGTGCACCTTGTATTGTCTTTTTGGTTGAGAATATTGTATTTAATATGTAGTTTACTCATTTAGTAGGCAGATTCCCCAAAAGGAAAATCAGTAAAACAAGTAGATTGTAACATTTACTGCAGTTAAACAGAATCAAAACTTGGTGTATAATTACTTTTTGATAGGAAAATGTA